TGAACGTTGACGGAAGGCGCTGACGTTACTCTCGGAACATGATTAGATGGGTTTATCGCAGAAATTAAGCAATGATTATTTTAATGACTAATAAGACTTTACAATTTTATTTTTAAGATAATGAACACTATAGTGAGATATTGTAGGGCTGTTAAAAAAAGGTTTGGTTAACCTTCCAACCCGATTCGCTTTTTTTCGCAAATGAGTTATTTTTAGATCACAAATCCGATCCAACTTCGGGTCTAAAGATCAACTCGAACCCAAACCAATTTCGGGTTTAGATCACTCAAACTCACCCAGCTTCCTTTATGTTTTACTAAATATTTTATTTCATATCAATTAATAGAACTAAATCGAATTAAGATATATTCATGTTAATGCAATTTAAATAAATTCAAGCATAATTCAATTTGACAACATGTTATTACTTTAGAAATATCATTTACTTATTTCTATGACAAATTTAATCTAAACCTCCTAAATCATTAAAACGGGGCCAAATCATGTTGTATGCTTCAAGGGTTTTTGGTGGGTCAAAATCCGAGACTCACCCAATTTTAAAAACGGCAAGATATTCTAACCTCGAACTTGCATTCAGAAGTTCGGTCCTGAGTTCCTTACCAGAATTAAGTCATCCAAATTTTTTTGTTCAGGTTGTTGGCATTTTCGAGAGTCGTGTCAAATATTAAACACGCCTAAATTAACTCTGAATTAATTATTAAATATTAATTATATCTTCAAAATAAATTTAATAAAAATTTGAATTAATAAAAACAAAACTCTGGATGAAAATAATTATAATATATACATATTATGCTCTTAGCTATCTTTAGGATTTGGTTTAAATTATAAATGTAATACGAGGAAATAAAAGTATTTTGATAAATTTTTTTGCAAATATGTTGAATAACTTGAAATCTCTTTCTGTTGCGTACACAAAAAAAAAATTCTGATTGAAATAAGTTATATGATCACAAATATAGTAAATTTTTAGATTAATTTAAACATTCATAACATTAAATATTGATTGTATATTTCATATATATCCAAAAATTATTATTTTATTTGCATGACCAACTCAAAATACTAATAGAGATGTAATAAAGTTGTGTACAGCACAGTAGACACACTTTATATTATTACCTTTAATTTGACATTTAACCGGCCAAACATTAACTATTACATACTACCACCACAATAGAACAAATTTGGGTGCATGAATGAAATATTAAAGTTTATAGATTATATGTGATATAATGAATTTATGATATAATTTGATATAAATTATATATGTTGGAGCTAGGCATGTATATTTAATATTCTAAGTATTAGATAATGTAAATAACATAAAATAAAGTGGATGTATGTAAAGTTTCCCTAATAGAAAAATGCCTCCTACTACCTCCTGTCATATCGCTTATTGTCTGTAACCCTCACACCTCCGTCGTCGGTCAACTTTCCTTACAAATTCTACCCTTTATTGTTGGTCCTCATAACCCTTTACATGCTCCTCAATCCCCTCAGCCACTGTCACTCACCCACCGGGTGGCAAACTAATATGTGTCTCCCTAAATTCCTCAATCACTCATGATTCCTAATTACTTCGAGCCTTCAATATTAGCTGTAATCACATGCAGTTGCCCTCAAAATTAATTAAATTAAATTAAAAAGGTTAATTAATAAATGTAGCCCACTCAGAAAAACGTACCTTAATGTCTATATCTAGAAAGAGAAATAAAAGGCCAGATCTTTAGGATCAACAAAGATGCACGTGAAAAGGGATGTCTTTTATTTTTTTTTGTTGTAAGACGGAAGTGATTTCTTTAGTGCCAGTGAAAATTCCGAATCGCTATAGCATGCCAACCACACACCAAATTAACGGTACGCCAACACTTAAAGGCTTTCATTGCTGTGCTAAGAGATTCGAACCAGGGACTAGGACTTTGCCCAGCGTGCTCTTCACCGACCCGAAGCATTTGATTTGCATCTTCCAATGTATATACTGATATACTGAAAGTCTGTAACATTTTCAAAAAATATATATAAATTAATAAAACTTTATAAATTGCCACAATTTCAGTCTATAATAATGTAATAACAATTTTGATTGGAGTTACCATTTTATTATTTTATTAAAATAATTGAAATGTTATTTATACTGGTTGGAATTTTGCTCGCACCCTTGCATCCACTGGTTTGGCAAGCCCATCTAGGGATATACTTAATTTTCTCATATAAAAATTCTTACATATTATTAATTTAAAATATAAAAAAAATGTAATGATCAATTTAATTATATTCTATTATAAGATGCAACATTTTCTTAATGCCCACTTACTTCCGGCTAAAGATTGTACCTCTAAAAAAAAGGAAAATCTAATGTCACCATTCTGCTTATTTCACGAATTGACATGACCCACTAAATATATATTCTACATTAAAAAAATGAATTTCATTAATCAGTATTGATATAATATAGGCTAGAGGTGTAAAAATGGATAAACATGTTAGGATTTAAATTTGACCTGAATCTAATTAACTCGAATCCGACACGTTTAATAAAATGATAAACAATATGAACTCAAATCCTACCCGCTATTATATATAATTTTTTTAACAATCAATTATAATTGATTAATAAAAAATAAGATAGTCATACAAATAAATTAAAAAAATTAAGAAAAAATAATTTAAACAACTTATTTGAAGAAAAATTACAGTGGAGGTCACCCCAAACCTTAACCTTGCTAACAAATAGGATAGAATTTTGGACTCAAATTTGACCCATTTATTAAACCGCATAACCTTAAATTTGAATTTTTTTTTAGGAATTGGATAATTTTCTAACACCCCTAAATTATAAACCTCGATTACAAACCATCCTACAATCCGCCCATCTCCTCTCCACTGCCCCGCGACACCGCCGTCGCCAGCGAGGAATCGGCCGCCTCCGCCGCCGCCGAGCTTTGCGGTCCGGTCGAAATTTGATCGGGAAAAGGGAAATTGAGTTTAGCCCGTGCGCCGCGGAACTCGATTGCCGCGTTATCGTAAGCACGCGCCGCCTCCTCGGCGGTTTCGAACGTCCCCAACCACTTGCGAACAGCTCGCCGCGGATCGTGAATCTCCGCCGCCCATTTACCCCACGGCCTTTGTCGCACACCGCGATACTGATTCTTCTTCTTCCGACGGCGGATCCGTCGTCGGATTCCGCTTCCCTCGGCATTGTCGGCAGGTGATGATTCGAAGAAATGGCAGCCGAGGCAACCGTCGCTGCCGATTCCGCAGACTTGGCAGCGAGGAAGGTCGGCGGCGAGGGGGAAGTAGATTGCAGGGGCGGTCTCTTGGGGTTCGCCGGAGAGGACGTGGACGAGGGCGGCGACGATGATGGTGTTTTCTTGATCGTGGGAGAGGCGGCGGGAGTTGATCGAAGGAAGTGGAGTGCTTTCCATAGGAGAGAGGGAAGCGGGGAAGTGAAGTTGGGAGTTATCGAAGTTGAGTTGCTGATTGAACGCCATTGTTTGGAAGAATCGTCAGCAGAAAGTTCGAAAGTTGGGGGAAATGGAGTGGAGCTTTGGGTTTTATATGTTTGGGCGTGGAAGTGTTTGAGTGGTTGAAAGCTGGAACGCGGGGATTTTGGATTTTCTTCAGCAGATATTTTAATTGTCGGATATATGTTACGTTCGTTACGTGCGAGGAAATGAAAGGCTGCGGATTGATGATTGAGGATGACACGTGTTACGATATATATATTTTTAAGACATTTAGGTCATTTAAGGTAAACTCAGACACACAACGCATACACAAAGACTCAAACCCAAGACTTCTTAGTTGGAAGTATAAGCTCTCAACCAACAAGCCAAGGTGAGGTGTGTGAGAGATTATTAGGTGCGGAGTGCAGACGGGGAGAACCGTCCGCACACTAGTATAAAATCCAGCTAAGTACCATTCGGTACCGCTGAGTACCACTAGGTACCGCTTGGTACCCTGTGTCTGTGCAGACGGTGCTCTCCCCGTCTGCACTCTGCACCTAATAATTTTTCGAGTTGTGTACGTGTGACGAGATGACATGAACAGTTTGGTTAGTGAGCACGCAATTGGCACACCGAGAACTTAAAATTGTAAGAAAAAAAAAATCACAAAGAAAATAAATAATCTTTACGACGACATGAGCATGAAAGACCTCCAAAAACAACAGTATAACCCACTATAAAGACAGAAAAAACCCTCAAACACCAACTCCAAACAGCAGATGCATGAACCAGAAGAACTTCCAATCTAAAAAATCTTCAATGAACTCGCAGCAGCTAGCCGGCCAACCAACCGAAAACTATTTAAAGAAAACTCCGGCCGCTTATCTGCCACATCCTGAAAAGTCCAGAACCAGGAAGAAAACAACCAGCTTGGTTCACCCAAAACTGCAATCTAAACCTCCTACACATAAAAAAGAAACCAACAAACAGAACCCAAGGCAATGAAAGAAGCAGTAAAGCCCCTAAAAACAAGGACTCAGGTACAGGAAAAACCTTCATATATCCAATAAGAGAACTTAAAAATTTCTTTGGTTACTAGACCCAACCATCCAGAATAAACTAGTTGCTGATCTAGTAATCAAAAAATAAGAAAAAAATTAGAAGGTGCCCAACATCATAGTCCAAAAAAAAAAAAAAACAAGCCACCTTATACAATAAAATGATAAATTTTGGGGAAGGAAACCTAGTTAAAAACTTTTGCTTAACCGCAAACCTAGTAAACATACAAATAGAATCATGACTGCAGATTTTGTTTTCCATATTTATGCAATTTCTTTCTTTTCAAACAAAATAAAGAGTGCATCAAGTATTGAGAGCTTCCTTCAAGAATAGGAAGAGGAAGAAGAAAGGACCGAAACAGGGAGAAAGAGGAAAAAGCAAATTGTATTATTCATGTTGCAGTTTGTATTACAACAATGTTTATATATGTATTCGAATGGCAGATAAAGTAAATATTACAATGTCAATATGCTAAGTAGTGCTAATATCCTCCCGCAAATTAAGCATTCGAAGGTCGAATGTTTAATTTGGTTCGTAGTTCGTTGAAGCGAGTGATGGAAAAAGGTTTAGTCAGAATGTCTGCGATTTGATCGGTGGAGGAAATGTGACTGAGCCGAACGGTGTTGGAGTTGATGTGTTGACGTATGAAGTGATAGTCGATCTCGATGTGTTTCGTCCTTGCGTGAAACACTGGGTTCTTAGCTATGGCGATTGCCGAGGTGTTGTCGTAATGAATTATGGTCGGATTTTGTTGCGGTATCTGAAGTTCCTCGGCTAGTCTACGAAGCCAAATTACATCGGAAAGGGCGGAAGACAAGGATCGGTATTCCGCTTCGGTGGAAGATTTGGCCACGATTGCTTGCTTCTTGACCGTCCAAGAGATGAGATTTGGACCTAAGAATGTGCAAAAACCCGAGATTGACTTCTTGTCGGATGCGTCTGATGCCCAGTCGGCGTCTGTGTAGGTCTCCAGCTCTAGAGGACCGGTTTTAATGGGAAGCCCGTAGGTGAGTGTGCCTTTGATATAGCGTAATATACGCTTGAGGGTCTTGAAGTCTTGATCCGTCGGATCCTGCATGTGCTGGCATACCGTGTTGGTGGCGAATGCGATGTCGGGTCTCGTAATGGAGAGGTACTGTAAGGACCCGGCTAGCTTGCGGTAGAGTGTTGGGTCATGAAATGGAGCCGTTGCTGGTTGTGCAGTCTTGGAATTGGTTGCAAGCGGTGTAGGAGCCGGCTTACAGTCGGCATAGCCTGCATCATGAAGGATTTTCGAAGCATAGTGTTCTTGAGTGAGAAAATAGCCGGTTGATGATCGAATTACCTGGATTCACAAGAAGAGAGAAATATGTCCCAACTTTTTGAGCGCGAATTGATCTTGAAGTTGACCGAGAATGTGGTTGATCGTGAAACTGTCGTTGCCTGTGACAAGGAAATCATCAACATAAATGAGAAAATAAATCTGAATGTGGTTTTTATGAAAAATTAGAAGAGAGTGATCGGAACGGCTGAACCCGAAGCCTTGATGTTGGAGAAACGTTGTGAGCTTGTTGAACCATTGACGAGGTGCTTGCTTGAGACCGTAGATAGATTTGTGGAGTTTGCAAACTGATTCAGGTTGCTGTGGGTCGACAAAGCCAGGAGGTTGACGCATGTATATGTCTTCGTGTAGGTCTCCATGAAGGAAGGCGTTGGAGACGTCGAGCTGATGGATTGACCAGTTGCGATGGAGGGCGATGGCTAGTAGCATACGGATGGTCGGCATTTTGGCTACCGGACTAAATGTCTCCGTGTAGTTAATCCCGAATTGCTGGTTGTAGCCGAGAGCCACTAAGCGAGCTTTGTATCGATCAATCTCTCCATTTGGTAGTAATTTCGTTTTGAAAGTCCATTTGCAGCCAAGCATGGGCTTGTTGGGCGGTTTGGGTACTAAGGACCAGGTTTTCTGTTTGTTGAGAGCCGAGATTTCGGCCTGCATTGCAGTCCGCCAGTGATCAATTTTGGAGGCCTGGTTGTAAGTGTTCGGTGTGGTGGTGGTGGTGGGTTGAGTGAGAAGATTTAGAATTTGTTTGGGTTTGGTGATACCGGCTTTGAGCCTAGTTTGCATATGATGAGTGGGGTTGAATGGTTGTAGGAGGTTATGGTCACGAGTGGCTATGATTGGTGTGTGTGCAGAGGAGTGTTGAGCCGGGGAGGCGAGTATGGAGGGTTCATTATTTTGATTCGGGGATGTGGAAGCCGGGATGTAGTCAGGCTGAGATGTGGTTATGGGTAAGGTAGTTACAGGTGGGAGGAGAAGAGGAGTAGTGATAGGAATGGGTGCTTGTGAGTTCTCCGTGGACGGCGGGCTATGATCTTTGAAAGGGAATGTGTGTTCGTAGAACACCACGTGACGAGAGGTGTAAGTGCGTTGGTTCTTGATGTCGTAGCACCGGTAACCCTTATGGAGTGGTGAATAGCCGAGGAAAGCACACTCCGCTGATCTCGGAGAAAGTTTGTTTGATGAATACGGTTTGAGCCACGGGAAGCAGAGACATCCGAATGTCCGAAGGTGGGTGTAAGATGGTGGTGTGCCGTGTAAACGTTGCGACGGGATTTGGCTGTTGATGGCTTTGGAGGGAAGATGGTTTACCAGATAATGAGCCGTGGAGAGCGCGTCAGCCCAGAATTTGTGCGGAGTGCTGGATGCATGAAGAAGCGCTCGGGTAAGCTCTAAGAGGTGTCTGTGTTTGCGTTCTGCAAGTCCGTTTTGTTCGGGCGTGTGAGGGCACGATAGTTGCTGCTGAATGCCGTTGTCATGAAGAAATAGTTTGAAGATGGTACTAGTAAACTCGCCGCCGCCGTCCGATCTGAGAATTTTGGGCATTTGCTGGAATTTGTTTTTGATTAAGTTGCAGAAAGATTTAAACTTAGTGAATGCTTCCTGTTTAGTATGCATGAGGTAAAGCCACGAGTAGCGTGTGTGATCGTCAATGAATATGATGTAGTAGCGATACCCTTCAACAGATGGTAGTGGAGCCGGTCCCCACACGTCGGTGTGAACAAGATCAAATGGGTTAGCTGTCACAGTTTCATTTTTATTAAAGAATTGTTTGTGGCTCTTGGCCAAATTACAAGATGTGCAGGAAAAAGATTGCGGTACACAGGGTATTTCAGAGAAATGTTTAGCTATGGAGGAAATAACGCTAGAGCTTGGGTGTCCGAGACGCGCATGCCAGAGCTGAGCCGTCGGTGTGGAAGCAGTGAAGGCGGTGTGCGACGAGTTCGGAGACGGTTGAATTTGATAGAGACTGTTAAGTAGACGCCCATGAAGAAGCGGACGTTGGTCCTGTAGATCCTTAATAACAAAGCCGTTAGTGTCAAAGCAAATTGAAATAGAGTTATCTTTGGTTAGTTTTGATACCGAGAGAAGATTGTGCGTAAGATCGGGCACATGAAGGAGATTTCGTAGAAAGAGCTTACGAGAGTTGTCGGGAAGTGGTAGAAGGCCTTGCCTGGTGTTGTGTATTGGAATTGTTGAGCCGTTGGCGGTAGAGACCGAGTCTGAGCCGGAGTAAGCTGTAGGATAGAAAAGATTGTTCGCGTCCGGTGTGAGATGTGTTGAAGCTCCGGAATCAAGAACCCAGTCTTGATTTGGGATGGACGACGAATTGGCTAGAAGAGCTCGCGGTTGTCGAGTATCCGTGGGAGCATATTTGTAATTAGAGCGATGCCAGCAGTTGAGGGCAATGTGGCCGATCTTGCCACATATCTGACAGGTCGGGCGGGTGGTGGGAATTGTGTTGGAGGTGGATTGAGAGACGATTTGCGTAGTTGTCGGGTTGGACTGGTTCTTGTTCTTGAGGAAACGGCGAGATTGACGTCCGCGGGAAGAGTTATTTGAATTCGCGTACAGTACAGTTGGAGATGCTTGTTGAATGTCAATCAGCTGTTCTTGTTGAAGATGAATCTCTTCGTTGCAGAGTAGCGAGTAAAATGTATCCAAG